TTACCTCAGGAAGGCTACCCCATGCATGTCACAGGCTGTAGGTTATAACCTCCCTAGATTCTTTCAGCTTTCTAGACAAATCATGACAATACAGACCACTGAAGATTTCTTCAGACAAGCAGTCCAGTGTGGTTATGGAGACAGAGCTTCAATTTAATTAGCACCTGTCTCTTAGGAGATGCCTCACAAAACTGACTGACAATCATGTGCTCATTTGTCATAGACACGAGGATGAAGGAGCCCCCTGGGGAACTAGCCACAACCTTGACTCTGAGATTCCCTTACAACTGGTCAGATGTTAGGAGATTGGATGAGTGACTGCCAACCTCCCTGGCCCTTCCCCTGGTCTGATGCTGTCAGTTGGGACCTCCCCGTGCCAAGCACAGCATGGAATGCCACTCTCCAACCCTCACAGTGGATATGTTCCACTTCTGGGGTCATAAAGAAGCAGTATTGAGAAGCTACAATTGTGATACCTTGTGCTTCATCTTGAGTTCTTGAGGAAGGTGGTAAGGGTGTAACTTCTGACTGCCAATTTTAATCCCGAGGCCAGTTTTAATTCAGGGTTGAGTAGATGTGCATTGTTTGCGTCATACGTGAAATTTTCCTACCCACCAGCATGTCCCTCACTGTTAGCCTTGTGCTTTAGGTATTTTGTGGTGAATGATCTGCTTTAGCAACTTCCATTGCTTCCTCTACTGGTTAGAATGTCACATTGCTATTCTTTAGTAACAACATGAGCTGTTTTCTCTTTGGGCTTCCCATTCTGTTGTCCTCTTCCCTGAAATGTCCTTCACTCATTACTGGTTAGCCGCTGAGAAGCCTTCTCCAGCTACCCCTTCCTTTTCTGTGTCGGCATCTCTTCCGAGTTACTCCACTGCATGTGTTAGTGTGGCCTGGGTCTTCCTGTGAGAAGTGACTGGTGGAAGACAAATATCCAAGAAGAAGCTACTGCAAACATTCATGTGAAATTGATGGTCAAACCTTCAGAAGCATCTGGCCGGATGTGAGGACGTTCCACTGCGTGACGAACTCCATCAGGGGCCTCTTCTCTGTGTAGCCCCAGCATGTTAGAGGTTCTGGTAACAGCAGAAATGAGTGGGTGAATGGGTAGTTGTTGTAGCATCATGGTGCTGGGTCAAGTCTTTGGAACCAGTCCCTCAGAACCCCTTTATTACAGCTGGAAACTTTAAAATAGGGTGCCTTCTCCTTTACAGGAGCTTTCTGACTCCACTCAGAATTCTCATGGAGTCATGGGATTTGAGGAAGTAAAACATTATAAGAAGGACTCCTCCAAACCATTTTTTTGTCTTCCTTGACATTTACATCCTGTATCTTATCAGAAATTTGTAACTCAAATGAACTGTTCATGATAATGAGCCATTCTTAATACAGTCTTGATTGAATACCTCTCTCCAAGAAGGTCACAGTGCTTTACATACATTAATCTAAATTGTCTTCAGAAGATACCGAAGTAGGGCGACCACCAGTTAGAATTCACCAGGGTTTCACATTCTAGATCTCTGCAAAGTTCTCTTCTGCCCCACCTTGGGGCTTGGAAAACACCATAAGAAACTTGAAGTCTGAGGTGGCAGGCGCTTCTTTATTACTATCGCCATTGTATTCTAGAGCCTTCTGGGTAGTCTTAGGTTAGAAACTGAATGAATTCTCTCACAGCTGAAAAAAAAAAAAAAAACAAGAATCAAGTCTTGGTATAAGTCATAAAGCTACTAGGTAAAGCATTCTGGGACTTTAGACCAAGGGAAGATTACTTTCACCTGAAGGGATATTGCAGGCTCCTTCTACCTGGGGTGTGTTCAGTGAACGGAGCCTATGTTCTTCATCATAGGCTCATATATCCAAGGTCCATATTGGCCATTTTATGGAGAAGCCACATCGTATGGGAACATCAGCCTGGATTAAGCGTAGGTAGCTTAGATTTCTGATCCCAACTTGTCTTTTCCAGTTGTGTGTCCCTAGTGAAGCTGCTTATTCCCTCAGACCTATAAATCAAGAATTTTGGACTATATGAGTCCCAGGACCCTTTACTGCTCTAGAGTGGAATGATTCTGTCCTAGAGTACCCAGCTTTCCTTTTCCAGACCACCACATGTGGCACAGATTGATCTGAATGCTCACAACACTCTGTGCTCTCGTTCTGATGTTGGCCACCATGTTTTCTTCATTATGTATTTGCATATCACTGCTCCCCAAGGGCAAGAGTTACATTCATTTCGTTTCTGAGTTCCATGGGGAATGTAGGCACACTTACCTCCTCTCTCCTGTTTCCTTAACCTGTGACTCTCAACTGTGTCTTGCCAGCATGTTAACCTGTACAAGTCTCTCCTATCTGGAAAGGAAAGATTCCCCCTCCCATCCCCCACCCATATTCCTCCAAGCTTCCTGTTTTCCCCACTCCAACAGCCCTCTGCCTTCATTAAACTTCTTAAAATAGTTGTCAACATGTGTCACATGCATTCTTGTCTTCCTTGTGACTCCCCAACTCCCTACATTCTGGTGCTCTGGCCCTCACCACTTAGAGAAACTGCTTTAGAAAAATTTCCTAAATAGTTTTGTTTTGTTTTTTTTTTTTGCCAAACTCAAAAGGATTCTTAAGCATTTTCATCATAGCCTCTAGCAGTGCTTGCTCTGACTGCTGTCTTGTTCATGAAACCTTCCCTGTGTGGCCCTTGTGGGACTGGGGATTCCTGCTCCTGCTCCTCTCACGGCCCTTTGCTCTGTCCTCCATGGACTCCTCTTTGTTTCAGATCTGGGCATCTCTCTCTGTCTCATCCTCACATCCGGCCAGATGCTTCTGAAGGTTTGACCATCAATTTCACATGAATGTTTGCAGTAGCTTCTTCTTGGATATTTGTCTTCCTGCCTCCTCCTGTGTCTCTCTCCCACAATCCCTTCTCCATTCTTTGACCAAATATAACTTCTAGAATTCAAATTTGATCTTGTTGCCTCTGTTACTTCTTTATCTGACTATAGACTCTAGACAAAATCTTAATTCCTTTGCATGCCAGATCTCCTAGGACATGGAAGCTGACTACCTTTGCATCCCTTCTGTGCTCTTACCACATATGCTCGGGCAGGACTGTGTTCTTATCACTGTATCCTGGCATGGGATATTCCAGTGGTTCCCAAGGTACTTCCCCCCGCCCCCCGCTTCTGCTGACTTTAAGACTTGGCCTTTAGGACTCAAGTAACACCTTTGCTACAAAGGCTTCACTCCCCTTGCCAAGCAGACTAAAGTGCCCTCTCCCCTGGGCTCCCATAATACCTTGCTTCCATTCCCATGGTAGCACTGACCGTGTTGCTTAGAGGATTGTTTACATGGCACTCTCTACCACCACCCCATGAGCTACTGAAGGGTCTAAACTTTGTCACTTAAATTTTGTTCCCCCACATCTTACCCCACAGCCTGGGACACATTAGGGAGGTACTTCATAAATATTTGCTGAGCAAGAGGGTAAAGGCATACTGGTAGCTTAATCAAAGACTCAGTCCATCTTCCCCAAACATTGTTGTTCTCACCATTGTCTATGGATGGAGGCTACTTTTTCTAGCCCAAATCAGGGGATTCCACAGTTTATGTCTGCCTGCTTTTTTAGGTATATATTTCAGGCTTTTCCAAAAAGACTGATCTACCTGCTGACCCACCCATACAACATTCCATTCTCCTACCCCAAATTGAATCTATTAATGGAGTGGGGGTAGGGATAGACCCCACATCTCAAGGCCTATGTCCTGTGCGTAGGAGCTTCTTGCCTTTTAGAATCAAGCAGCAGCTCTGAATTATTTAGCCTCTTTTCCCCTTGATTGTGCTCCATCTTTCCCTTTCCTCTTGTGTTTGGAAGATCACGCAGGTACTAGGTGCACATGGTCCTGGCTGCCTGATAATAATTTCCCATCATTCGAGTGCCAGAGCCAAGTACCATTCCCCTTTTATTTAAATTAGATAAAACCCAGAGCTGTGGCTTGCAGGTGATGGAAGTCCACTGGGGAAATTAGAGGTTCAGAGAGAACGGGACCCATTATAATAAAAGCATTTGCACAGTCAGTGATTCCATCTACCCTGTGGCTTCAATGTTCCTTAGGGTATGATGAAATATGAAGCAACAGGACCTTTGAAAGGAGTTTGAGGAATTTATTTTAATTGGAAATGGTGGTGGCATTCTGCCCTGGGACTAAACTCTGCCGATCGTGCTCAGTGGTGTGATGGGCATTTATAAAGAGGGCCCAGTTTTGCCACAATTCAGGATCTTGATACCATTTTGTCTCTGGTTCTTTCTCCTCCTATATACACACTGAACTGGATAGTAAGAGTCTCCTTCTTCCATTATTTCAGTGACTCTGCATTTTTATTCCATCCTTTGTGTTTAATACAAATTAGATAATGGCTCCTAAATCTGTCAACCGCTGGACCTTCAAATTACTCCTAACTATGAAACCTAAGAAAAATTCATGCAACTGACACAGAAAGGCCAGAAGAAAAACAGACAATCTGCACTTAATTTCGTAACAACACAAAATAACAGGGGCTGTTTCTTCAGCTCATCCTATGTCCTTCATATAAAATGTCACAACTCCACTATGCAGGTGTCGCCTCCATTTCACAGATGAAGAAACTGAAACCCAGAGAAGTTAAAACACTTGCTCAAGATTCCGTAGTGATGATGAATGGCAGATCAGAATTACCTAACAGATAGAGGCAGAAACTGTCTCAAACCTGGTTCCACCAGGTTTTGAACTCAAGTCTGAGTGTAAAGCCCAAGTTTTTAAATACTGTGTCACAGAGTCTTTTACTGAAAAGGACCCATTCTTAAAGATCAAACACAGAGTTGCATTTCAATGTAATTTTAGCTGGGAGAGGTCTTGTTATTATGAATGTGCCCTTATAATATTATCGGTACTGGAGTTTAATAGCATGGAATTTCTGAGACTGTTTTTACAGCTGTTCAATCTGCCTTTACTTTCTCACTTTTGTATTTTTAGATGCATCATCCCATTCAGATGAAACCTGCAGATAGTGAAAAGTCAAACGGTAGGTGGTAACTGTCTCATTTAATGTCTTGTTTCTTTAAATTAAGAGGTCAGGTGGGGGAGGGAGGCCCAACCCCAGTGGCTTTTTCTCTCCAAATGGGCAGAGCAAACACCAGGAGACTTCCACTGCACTTGGTATGTCTGGAGAAATGCCACTTCAATCTCCTGCCTCATCTATATGTGCTGTGGAGTTCTGTGGAGATGTTAGGAAAATGGTTTTCTGTGTCCCTCTGTTCGGGACTTGCTCTGTGTGGTGACCCCGTGGCCTTTGGCTCTTATTTATCTCTTCCTACAGAGCTACCCAAGACACCTGGTGGGGGGGATGACCTTACACTGTGCAGAGAAGATGAATGGAGAGGAAGTGCACACTAAGAATTAGGCTATTGCCTTTCTCTTTTCCATTTGTTCCTTTTTGGCTTGGAGACTCTCGTTGCACTCTTCTCTAAATTGTACAGATGCATTTGCATCCGAATTCATTCAGAATTCAGCCTGCTGATTAAATAAATGTACACTCGCTGCAAAAATATGCATTTGATCAAGTCCATGAAATAATGGAGATTTGCCTCTCCAAGACATGAGAGGGTTGACGGCCACATTTTTCTCTCTCAAGTTTCTGCTTCCATTTATACAGACCTGCTGTCTCTGTTTTGTTCTTTGAATTTACTAAAATGGATGGTAAAGGAATCTTCTACCTTCTGAGACCTTAGCGCTTCCCTGTCCCACTAGACTGACATAATCAGCACTGTTTCCTTCCACAGGCAGTTCTGCTCCTCATTAATTAGTAATCAGGGCAGAAGCCACGCACTTAGAGATCTGCATATCTGCAAATGTAAATTATGATTGGGCTCTAAATCTCTCCACAAGGTATTTTTTTGCTAATTGTAGTGCATCCCATTTTCTAGCTTCTTCACAGACTAGAAAGTTTTAAGAATATTCTAAGTCCATCATGGTGAGGCCAGGACTTGACTTGTCTGTCAGGGAGTAGATGTTGGGGCTTCTGCCACCATCCTGTCATCAGCCACATGCTTTTCTGAGAGTTAAACTTCTGCTTCTTATGTCACTACCATGAATGTGGCAGTCCCAGTGGGTCTAAGATCTGGTCCCGTTTTGTTGCAGGACCTTTATCAAGTCACTTCATCCCTTGTTCTCTGGTTATTTGTTGATAACTCACTGTGCGCTAGGCACATGGCCAGGGGCTGGGGCCACAGAGGTGAATTTTAAAAGCAGTCTCCAGAAGACACTGTCCCCGACCCCATAGACCTTACATTCAGTCTACTGACTTCAGTGTCCAATAGTCACAAAGACTGAAATTTAATCTCCACAGTCATAAAAACAGGTTAATGGTAGCTACTGTATATAGCTTTTGGGTTTTTTTTTGATACATAAAGATGTTTGTAACAGTATTTTGTAAGTGTCAGATCGCTTCTCCAAAATGTTGATTATAACCACTACCTGCATTTCCCTGGCCTTACGTGGTTCTGCTCTGAACACGCCCGCTCAGAGGCTGCATCCCCATGCCAAGGCCTGGAGCCCAGGGTGGAGACTTCCAGCCTGTTCTGTCCCTCGTGGGAGAGAGGAGAGGTGAATCAGAGATTTGGGGGAGGAGGGAGTAGATCCTGTGAAGGTCATCTTGGAGCTTTAGCCACCACAAGATGCCCCCTGTCCTTTGGCCCTATAATTCTGTTAACTCTGTCAGGATGAGAAACAGGGAATCAAATCTGTAGGAAAAGGTTTGTTTCTGTTTTGAGCCTTAGGTGAAAGTTATAAAAACAAGATGAATTCGAGCACTGACTTGGAATGTTTGACCTAAAATCCCCAAATGATATTGCTAGGAAGGGATTTCTTCTTCTGCATTTTCTCCAGTGCAGGGAGACCCCTGGCTTGGGGTCCTATCCGCAGGAGAGCTGCCGGGAGCTCTCAGGAAGGTTCAGTGCCCTTTCTGCCCCACGTCTACTCTGGACATGAAGAGTTATATTGACTTTGGGCCTAGTACCTCAACAAGAGAAGAAATCTGCCGTGGATGCACCTCGTTTTCCACATCCCCACAGCACTGGGCACTGTTTTACTAAGATGAGAGAATACCTAAAAGTGCTATTTTCAAGAAACAACTTGGGGTCGCAGTTCAGTGCAATTCTGAGGAGTCCATACTAACCCCGGACCTTGCACTTGTTTGCTGTGTCCTTGGGCACATTCCAACCTCACCCACCTCTGTGTGGCTAACCGTAAGAAGAGGGGACAGTAGTGTAGTCTGAGCTCTTCTTGTAACACCTTCCTTACCAAGCCATTCAAGGAGCACGTAAGTGAACACCTATAAAGAACCTGGTATCATACCTGGTATGTCTCAGCTCTGTGCTTTGCCAGCTGCTGGCTAGTGCATCCCGAGCAACAGAGGCTGCCACTTTCAGCCTTGACCTCTCTGTCCCAAAGCCTAGATCCAAAGGAAAACCCCAGACCTTCTTCTTGAGCCAGTTCTCCCTTTACTTTGTGGATTGACCTTCCTTTTTATTTCCAATTTTCACTTTTTAAAAAAAGTCAAAAAATGTAAATGGACTAAAAGCTGCTTTTACAGCGCTCTTCTTTACAGAGGCTAAAATGGAACCTCACCTTGCTTAGACAGGAACAGGTTTCAAGATTCTCCTTGGACCTGATTGAGGAATCAGGAGAAATGCATGATTTTTGAAAGCAAGTGATAAAAGCTGCAAGCCTGTTCTGATTTCACATGGCATTTTTTGACAGGTAAGCAGAGTTTCCAAAGCTCAAAGAGCACAAAGATTTCTTCGACTCAGATGCTCTAAATAGCTCCTATAGTTGTGAAAGAAGTATAACGAGCTCTAATTGCACTTTTATTGAGTTTGCTGACATTTATGCATGACACAAAGGACTCATCAGAGTTAGACAGTTACTGTCTTCATTATCAGTATGTTCAGATTTCCAAAACTTTGTATTTGTTGAGCAAGAAAGGACTACTAATCATAAATTAATTAGTGATGGGCAAAAGATTTCCAGAAAAGCAATCATTCTTTTAAACTTTCGTCCATCTAGAGATTCTGATCAAAGGGAGCCTTCTGTGGTGAGCCTCGAAATGCTGGGCAGCTCTTAGGTCCATCCTGGTTCTGAACATGCTTCCAGAATCTCCCAGGCTTCCTGGAGTCTTGCCCTCTCAGTCTGCTCTGATTTAAGCTGCAGCCTGTAGCAAATTTATATAAGCTCATCACATCTTGCTCCTTATCTCTTGTTTCTACTATGCAAGGGGTCCAAAAAAAAAAAAAAAAATCCAACTCAGGATTAGCAAAACGTGTTAGAGTCTTTAGGAAGAACACACTGAATTAAATACCCAGATTTCAACAAATTCCAGCTTTTTTGTTGTTGTTTTCCCATTGCATGTGTTTGGGCGACAGTACAGGAAGGGCATTTGAGGAGCTGTGGATTGGAGGTATCAGTATAAACTGGTACAGACATGGTTACTGTCTTTTTTGCTTTCTGCCATCGAAAGGCCAGTTTTCCAGCTTGTAATCTTCTGCCGCGATGCAGGAAAATGCACCAGCTGTGCAGGGCTGAAACTTAAGCACAGTTGCTGAATCTGAAGTTGTCTCGCAGGGAGCGAGAACAGCATAGCAGTTCCCTTCGGTTTTGTGGGTGGGTCTCAGCGGCTGTAGCCAGTACTCACTCTGTGTTGTGCTCTGGGTTGAGAGGGGGATTGTTTTTTACTCTGTAGACAGAACATAAATCCATCCTGCTTTATCTCTCCGACCTCAGAAGTTGTCTGGGTCCTTAAGGCCTCAAATCCAGAAATGCCATTTAAGCCTCTGTCTCTTTTCTCAAGGCCTTCGAAACCTCTGGTGTCCATGCGTCAAGTTCAGAGCTAGCAAGAGTCAAGATAACTAAATATTGTCCGGGTGGGTGAAGACCTGCCAGCCTCCTGTGGACACAGGAATCGCAGGGAGTTCTACCCGCTTACTTTCTCATTTAATGGAAGATGAAGAAATAATTTTGAAATTCAAAGTGGAGAGACTCACGGATTTGGAGGCAGTAATTAAATGCCATATGTTAGCACTAACACATTGAAAAGTTGTTAATTAATTCAGGCTGCCCCGGATCCAGGTGTGACTTTGACAGATTGTACACCAGGGTGTTAGCAAAGACTTACAATTAGGGATTTTTTAAAAATGAAGTTTCTATTCCCCAAACTTAAAAAAAGTCCCACTTACACTTAAAATGTTAACCCTTTCTCATTTATACCATAGAAGGAGAACTTTAAATGGACTTTGACAGGGAAGCCCTTTCAGTTCTGCTATCCTTTTTTTTTTTTTTTTTAAGATTTGTTTATTTATGCACACAAGAACTAGAGTACAGGTCAGAGGTATGGGGGGAGGGGGTGGTGGTGAGAGGATTCACCAGAGACAGAGAGGGGAGCAGAACAGGCAGACTGACTGAAATATACTGCTGAGGGGAGCAGTGGGCAAGACAGGAGAGGTCTGCTGTGCCATGTGATTAGCTCCCTGGCCGGGGATTGAACTCATGCTTCAGTGGCTGTGGACAGCTTCATAGTGCTGAGACTTAATCCCTTGCGCCACCAGGGAGGCCTCTCTGCTATCCTTGCTGGTGGCGGTGAACACCTATCTGTGAAGTTCTCTGTATATGAAAGTATTTTCCCTCATTTGCTTATTATCCTAAAGGAAAACAGACTTTTTCCCTATAATGCAGGGTCCTTATCTTTTCATTTTTTTGAATTCTCTTAAAATACCTAGTATGATATTATGAACATAATAGGTTTATTAAAGCAATCAGCTTTCTTATGGATTGAAAGAATCAGTAAACTACTTAATGCCTATGAGTACTAGGAAAATACACCAAGAAATTCATCAAAAATGGATAGAAAGTTAATGAATTCAAGATAACTACATTTATTGAAAACACCAACAAAGCTGTTTAGGGACCCCTAGGATGGGAATATCCTAGGAGTAGATTTTATGAATAAATTTTCACTGGAAAATCAGGAAACCTCAAGGCAGAGGAAAGCTGGGTGTGTGTGGTCAGCCCCCTTTTGCCATTAAAGCAAACATGGGCCAACTGTTAAAACCAAAGCAACTTCGGCTTCCAAAAAATTGTGAATATCCAGTGGCCTTTACATGTGTGCACGAGCGCTCGTGCGCGCGCACACACACACACACACAGAGAGACAGACAGACAGACAGACAAACAGACGGAAATGGCTGGTTTAAGTGTCCCTTCTTTTTCCCCTTAGGTGATACTTGTTAGTGAAAAATGTGAATTGTCTTTTATCTCTCTGCCCATCTGAGTTCACCCTTCACGATGCCTAGGAAGTCAGGATTTCTTCATAAGTGCTCAATTTTCTTAATATGCATCTTAGGGGGAAAAATCAGTTGTGAGCTTACACTAGAGCTGCATGTTGACTTTACTCCAGCATCATCCTGGAGCTCAAAACCTGAAAATCATTTTAGCTAAATACCACAGTTACAGGTTTACCAGCAGAACCAAGGATCGACAGGGACTTTATCATTTGCTTTTGCTTAAAAGAAATAAAAACAGATTGTTCCGAACACTAGAAGTAAGGCAGGTTTTTTTGATTCTTGTTTTTTGTTTGTTTATTTTTACTCTCATAAGCATATCACCCAAGCTTCCTTGGGGTGGGAGTCTGAGAGATGAGGGAAGAAGCGGACAAGAACTGTAAGCTGCAAGTCCTCCCCTCTACCCCATCATGTATTATTCCTTCTCCTTCCACACAAGGAAGGTCGCAGGGATGCTGCCTTTAGGAGTCACCCATCACAGTGTCAAATACAAGAGATGCCGATAGGAAAAGGAGCTTCCTTCCCCGGGTCATCTGGGATCCCTTCCTAAGCTTAGATCTCTGTTGCACCAGCACTGCCTTGACTTACTCTGCTTTCCCCACTGCCCTGTAGTAGATCATTGGTAGTCCACTTACTCTGATGGGAGAAAGAAGGGTTTCTTAAATGTAAAATTTTCCATCTACATAAATAAAGTCAGATCCTCAGCAGCCTCCCCCCAGAAGTCAAAGCCAAGAACACCCATTGGCCACGTCTATTTAGATGAGTCTCGACATAGGTCGTGGTTTACACCATCTGTTTTCTACCTTGAACCCTTCCCTACAGATGAAGCAGAAAATGGTGTAGATTGTGCTAAAGTCAGGCTGCTTATTCCATCACCCCACAGCCGGCCCTAACTCCTGACGGTTCCTGTCCACTTAGTGCATTGCTCCCCCACCCCAATACCAATCTATCCGGACTGGCCCATGCTTCCTAAAGTCCAGCGTTTAGTCCTACATCTTCCCCTAAGCCTTTCTCCTTCAGGGCACCACTCATACTTTTCCAAGGGTTTTTCCAAGGGCTTGTGGTTTCAACCTGTCTTCCTTGGACCCCAAGTTTCTCTGTGTTGTCTTTGGAGCTGTGACAAGTATGGAGAGAGGTTGGGTAGAAAACATCCTGTAACCGGGCCTCCCCGGTGGCGCAGCGGTTGAGCGCTGGGTTGCGAAGCTGCCCGCAGCCTCTGCAGTGCCAGTTCGATCCCCGGCTGCTCCCCGGCCTCCACCGGAGGAGGGTCCCACATGGCGCGCAGACCTCTCCTGCCGCCCGCTGCTCCCCTCAGCAGTGTACTTCGGTCCTTCTGCCTGCTCTGCTCCCCGCTCTGGCTCTGGTGAATTCTCTCACCCTCCCGCGCTTCTGACTGTACCCAGTGCTTGTATAAATAAATAAATAAAAATAAATCTTTAAAAAAAAAAAAAAAAGAAAAGAAAACATCCTGTAACCCATGAGCTTCAGTTAATCCAAGCATGTGGCCTGGGCAGCCCTCTCCCCACTACAGAGAAAGGAAGGAGAAAGGAAAAAGAGGAGCAGAAGGAGAATTTAAACCTTCGTTTCAGGAATGACAATTGTGAAGTCCACAGATGAGCTCATTCACCAAGGTCACACATCTCTCAGTGCCACACTGGAGATGGATGGGACCACCATTGCTCTCCCCTGAAGGCCTCACCTGCCTCTTCTGCTAATGCAGCAGAACCCTGGGCCAGGAAAGGAAGCCACCAGGTCCTAGTCCAGATTATCACCTACTCTTAAATGGCCCCAGCGAATCCTTCCCTCTGCCAGACTTCAGGGCCCCCTCTTAGAGTTAGGTAGAAGATCTTTGGTGTCCCTCACTTCCAATCTGGCACTCTTTGAGTCGGAGTATTTAGCTGTCTCATTTTGACCCTTCAGAGCTGCACTTTCCAGATAGCATTCACATGTGGCTTTTAAAATTCAAATTAGTTTAATTAAATCACATTAAAAATTCACTTCCTCAACCTCACTAGCTACTTTTTAAGGACTTAGTAGCTATGTGTGGCTTTAGCTACCATAGTGGACATCACAGTTTCTCTGCCTGCCGAAAGTGCATTGGTCAGCTCCAGAGTAAATTGCCTGTGTCACATCTCTGCTTCATGAACAGATATTCTGTCCCAGGTCCAGGGGGACATGAGACATGGATTTTCACTTAGGAACTAAAAACAACCAGCCCCAAAAAGTCTAGAATATGTTCTTGTTGGCTAACTGAAAATGAGACACTTACTGTCCAGGGAAAGAATATGAGAAACAGAAATAAAAGCCATTTAGATATTGATGGCAGGACTACAAGACAGGTAGGAAAAGAAGAGTCACATACAAGTGATGCCTGGCAGGACCCTGTTCCAGCCAGAGTGTTGCGCCAGCACTCTGATTCTCTTTTTTAATTCTAAGAAATGGATTGAAATGAAACAGTGGGAAATCAGCCAGACTTCTCCCTTTGGGCTTCTGTGACAATATTTTGCTCTCTCCTAAAAAGGACTGCAAGCACTGTCCTGAAATCAGATATAATCATGCCCTAGGGGCTGAGTTTAGGCTAGTTATCCTGAGCTCAGGCGAAGAAAATCTCCCAAGTCAACTCAGGTGACTCTTCTCTCTACCTCTTGAATTTCCAAGCATTTTGGTGTCGTGACTCAAATATATCTCTTTTCATCATGAATCCTATCCCCAAGTGGGGAGAATAATATTGTTTCCTCCTTGCTCTTTATTTATTACTGGTTTCACCTGAACAAGGGCCCTCTCCTATGTGATTCTCAAGTAGCTCTACCCGTTCTCTTTTTTTTGTTGAAGATTTATTTATGCATACAAGAGGTGGGGTACAGGCCAGAGGTATGGGGGGCGAGAGGATTCACCAAGACAGAGTGGGGAACAGAACAGGCAGACTGACTGAAATACACTGCTGAGGGGAGCAGCGGGCGAGTCAGGAGAGGTCTACTGCGCCATGTGGGTAGTTCCCCAGCTGGCCAGGGATCGAACTCTTGCTGCAGAGACTGCAGACGGCTTCACAATGCTGTGCTTAACCCCTTGTGCCACCAGGGAGGCCCTGTACTCATTCTTTTAACTAGAATTGCCTTTCTCTTTGGTCATTACCTACAGACCAGGTGTGTGCCCTAGTTAGAGTGCATGACCTGTGCTGCCGCGAGGAGGTCACTGACTGGCTATCCAGAGAAGTGAGCGTCTCTCTCGTCTCTTTTTTATCTGGATGGTGGGGGAGGAGGGGAATGGAGGTTTGTGAAGCAGGGGGAGAAAAATTATTTTCTTCCATTGAATGCTATGTTAAAAGTTTTGCTTACTATTCCACTGTATCCGTTCCTGGTTTTTCCTCTCCTGACCTTTTCCTTTCCCTGTCACTCAAGTTAAAAAAAAAAAACATTGGCACCACCACCCCCGAAAAAAGACCATATTAAAATCAGTATCCAAATATATCTCTATGGAATGGTAGTGTTTAGCAATTACACAGCACTTTAACATTTCAGTAAACACATTACTGTTAGTTTCCAAAAGGAGGAAAGGACTTAACAACAGTGTTTCATCTCCTATTAAGATGTTTTATTAATAAGAACAAGCTCACAAAGAGATGGAATGTTCAGGAAGGTCAGGGTGAAAGAGCAGAGGCAAGACTGCTCACTCGGGAGGAAGGGAGACAGACAGACTGGGAGTCTGAGGAGGAAGCCTTGGGACCCCCAGCTCAGCCTCACATGATTGGGATTGGGTTTGATGTGGTAATGAAGCATTGATTACAAGAAAAAAGATGAAATGGCCTTTGCTCATTCATTATTTTTATCTCCTAGCTGTGGAAGACAGAAAATTGTTCATAGGAATGGTTTCGAAGAAATGTAATGAGAACGATATCAGGGTGATGTTTTCTCCATTTGGCCAGATAGAAGAATGCCGGATCCTCCGGGGACCCGACGGGCTGAGTCGAGGTGAGTGTGCTGTCTATAAAGTCTCTTTCCTTAAGTGCTAATTGGAAGCCTGTGTCACAGTCAAGGTAGATGTAGCCACTCTGCACAGCAAGAGGTTACCCAATAATATGTCCCGTGCGATAAAGTTATCCAACCTGAACTTTTCACCGTAGCTGAAATGATCACCTTTTATTTCTCAAGTCGAGAAGGTCTTGGTGCCAACATATTAGCTCAGGTTATCACTGTCAGACAGGAGGCCGATGGGCTGCCCTGTCATTACACATCCCTTTTCTATCTCAAATTGAAGTCGATATGTTGGGGGGTGAGGGAGCGGTGCAGAGGATGAGAGAATATTTGTTGTTTTCATCTTAGTCTTCTGGCTTTCCTCCTGTGCCTGAGAGAAACGCACAGGCCTCTTGACAGTGATGCAAACCAGGAGAAGACATTCTAGTTCCCACAGCATGCAGTCTAGCAATGGACTTAGATGGACTTAGTTAGCTGGGCCCGTCCTGGAAGATCGGGCTTGGTTTCAAAGAGCAAACCTCTTGGAGTCCTGATTGCAAGGAGTCCATTAAGTGACAGAGAAATGACTTCTTCCAGAATAAGATTGTAGGCTCTTCTTTGTCACCCTGATAGAAGCAGAAGCTGTGGCTCAGAGCAGTGATAAAAACAAGTACTTTTGCATGCAGCTATACAAAAGTCATCGGAAATAACCATTGCCTGGCCGTGTTTGCCTCCCACTTTGACAATGTCACACACCCCCTTCCTAAACCACCTAGAAGGGTCTTCCCTGTGTGTCATCTTATCCGAATACACCTTCCTGAGTCACATGCAAGGAGGCCAAAGTGGAAGTGTACAGGCAAAAGATAATGTTCAGTCCTCATAAGAAGTTGTATTTTGCAACATGAAGAGTTTATCCTGTCAATGTATTTATCAGCACAGTTTCCACAAGGCCAATTAAAGTGCTTTCCATCCCCAGGGTACCCAGTTTCTGGTTCCAAGGCAGCCCTGCTGTCCCAAACCACATGTGGAAAGCAAAGGCTGGGCCTTTAGTCTTGAGGCACTAATTTTCACCCATCTCACTAGTTTCACCTAAATTCAGCACCACCCGAGGAAGAACATTTGTTCTTTTGACTTTTAGACATAACGCTTCACAACGTCAGCTGTTAGAATTGAAGACAGAGAGAACAAAAGAGTTCCGCCTACATCCACCCCCGGAGCCCCAAAATGGAGGGAGTTGAGAGGGAAGCTGGGAGGAGGTGGAACAACTCCAAGCTTCTGATCCCTGTATTTTCTTCTGAAGGTGGTTTAAGAAAAAAAAAGAGGGGAGGAGGCATGAAAAGCACAGTTTATGCATTCTCTAACAATTCTGAAACTCTTGCTATTAACACTCACCCGGAAAGATGTGATTCTCTAAAAGTTGAACAAGACATGAATGATGTTGAGTGTGATCCCCAAACAACAGGTGCCTCAGACTCAGCTGTGGCTTAGCCCTAAACCATTTCTGCTGTCAACTAGATAGCCCATTGTGCTGGTGATCTGCACAATCTCTGGCTCCTATACAGCTTCACAAGCAGAGAAAGCTAGGACTTGAATTCCGGTTCCCTCTGTCAACGTAGCACATTCATGCCACGAGAGCTCCAAGTCACATCTGTCCATTGGGCTCTGCTGCAGTCAGAATGGACGTGTGTCCACTTAGGCAGCAAATCAGTAAGGACAACACTCCGTGAAAAGGCAGTATAGCCAAGTGAGGGAAGAACAGGATGCATGCTTGCAGTCCCTTCCCTGCTGTCAACTTAGCTGCCAACTTGGTCATCAGAACCACTGTACATTCCTGATGTTATTCTCAGCCCCATTTCTGCGTTATCGTTGCATTTTTTTCATTTGGTAAGACACACCACAGCATGGAGACGAGGCAGGAAAGAAGGCCCTCAAATTACTCAACCATACTTACAGTGATTTTAGGTCAGTGACCCCAAGTTCCAACCGCAAAACTTATCCTGAGATGAAATGCCACCATCGTCAGTTCATGGTCCCCTCTATCCCTCAGTTTTCCCAGCTGTAAAGGGCAGGAGTCAGTCTCTGCCCTGTTAGTCCCATTGGCATCATTAGTTAATGAAGTGGTGGGTTTTCTGTAGAAGCAAACCCTCCACCGGGTTTAGTAGCAATCTTGACTGTGAAGTGTGAGTGCTTGGCTTCTTCCTCCCTCTGCTGGGCAGCCTTCCTGTGCCATCTCTTCATCTCACTTTCCCCACCTGCCCAGGGTGGGCAGAGGAACAGCAGTGGTATCCGCCGTAGCCTGAGGTCCTTGAGCATACCTTGCTTCTGTCTTCAAGTGAGGCTTTAAAGCAGCCAGACTCTCATAGAAAAGAGCCAGACATGGTGCTTAACAGACAACATGGCTAATTTGATCTACCATTTGGCCCTGACCAGCTTTGGACTTCAGGTGCAGCCCATTCCTGAAACATGCTATGGGCTTGTGCTCATCAGTACTTGATGCAAAGGCTGCCTCCATGAAAAGAGCAGAATAGTTCTCCTTGCCCCCCGCCCACCTTTTTTTTTTTTAAAAATGGAAAAGTAATTTCTGGTGAACTGATGAGAATTCCCTATGGCAAAAAAGGAAAATGCTCATTTATAACCATTTGTTCTAAAATATAAAGACAGACAGTGGTACGTTTTTCAATTAGTAGGGACCCAGGGACTCCTGGGTACAGGGGACTGCTCCAGAATCAGTGCATTTGTTAAAAGAACAATTCCCTTGCATGCTACTATTTTGCTTTCATTAAAGAATTGTAGTTTCCAATCAAATATTAATAAGTGTCTCCCATTAGTGGCACTGCAGATAAAGGGTGCTCAGCATTTCTGGTCTCAGTGCCTATTGCTGGCTCAGCCGTTTAAAAGTAAATAAAAATTAGGGGAATTGAAAGCTTGATGTTCTGAAAAATACCTTGTAATACCAAAGCAGGGTATCAACTAATGAATCAAAAGGTCAAAAATCAAACCAGTTGATGCTGCTGAGGGAGAGGTATGTTGAGGGCCTGTTTCCCTGCTTGCTTCTGCCCAGCGCTGCTACAGGATGAAGACTGAGGACAGGGCTGATGTCACCGGCTCCTGCGCAGATTCTTAGTATCATTTCTTCTCTGCCTCTTCAGTAGTTTGAATTCCTCTCTGACAGGTACAAAGCTGAGGTTTCTCCAGGCCTGTTGACTTAGTCCTTCCCACCCCCTCTTGAATCAGAGCAGTGGGCTGTCGGGGCCCTACATTTGCACCAATCCAGCCCTGCTGTGAGTGCAGTTAGAATCACTGTCCTTTAAAAAAGAACATCATGCTCTGCATATTGGGAAGAAAGACTCTGTTACCCATCGTTACTCACCAGCAGCCAGCTCTGCACTGTTCTGAGAGAGAGAGAGAGAGACACAAACACACACACACACACACACATACACATACACACACCCCCCCCCACCCCCCCCCCAGAAATGCCCTGACCTTCCTGGCACACCCTGCGCTGGCCAAGCATGTTGAGCCTCAGCAGCTGAGCAGACTCGGCCTCGCTTTAGGCTCTGTGCCCACATCCCAACATGCATTTCCCTAAAGGGGAAACCCATTCTTCCATCTTTTCTAATTTGGTAAACCTGGTTTGAGATGCTCTCCAGCACGTCATGATTTTAGCCCCTTCTGCAGCGGCAGAACGACCTCCATTGAGGCTCAAGTGCTGCCAGTGCCTCTGTTAAGAAGCAGACAGGACACCATGAGCCCACACATGGCAAGTCCAGTGAGCCATTCTCTCTCCAAATCAAAGCCTGAGGATTCTTAGCAAGGGCGTTTAGGTGACCTTAGCATATTATTTCCTAAAATACACACACATTCTCACTTACTCATAAATCCCACAGTCAGAATGGACCGTCCCACAGTCAGAATTGGGTGCAGTCTACAGGGTTTTCTGCACTATGGCAACAGATTATCTGTAACTGGGAGACAGTGAAGCAGTTTATTTCATTTTTCTTTTCCATAAACTGTAGTCAAATGCTCACTGCCATTTAAGGTAACTTTCTGCTTGTTTAAGAATATTCCAGCTGTGTTTATGATGTACCAACATTCTCCTGCCAAAACTTTTGACAAATGAACTGGCAATATTTTCAGGGATGTTGGCCGAGGACAGACTGGATTTAGTCATTAAATCCTCGTTTGTTTTGTTTTATCTGATCAGTGTATTAGGATAGGGCTTTCACTTTTATAATATGTCCACAGAGAGGACTCAGTTTTGACCATGACATTTCAGTCTCGCCCACATAGTACCTAAACATTCAGATTTGTGGAGACGCTTGTCAAATGCCCACTGGGTTATTAACTGTGTTTTGCCATCTTGCTCCGAATACAATAGTCTAATCTCTCGGGGATTTTGCCAGCTATTAAGTTCCAGTATGCACTCAACCTCAGGTAGTGTACACAAATGATGTCTCTAGGCCAATTTTAAATTCACTAACCCGACATCGGGGGTGGTACATTAGAATGTTGAGTTTGATGTCCTGATATTACCTCGATAGCCTGTGTTTAATAAACCCCGGCACTGCTGAAAAGATAGTGAGGAAACCTGGCCGCATTTAGAGCTTTCTTGAGCGGATCAAGAATTTATCAACAAGTTTTCCATAGGTTGACATCTCCTTCCTGCTGCACAAATTATATGAAATTATGCTCCTTCCGTTGAAATATAGCAGGTTGCCCTTGCTCTCTCCAAGAAGTAGCAGGAAAGCAAAGGCCCTGGCATTGTACGTGCTTTCACACATGCCTGTACTTTTTCTCGTTGGTGGTGTTCAGAGCAAGAATTCATTAGTTCTCAAAATTCTGCAGCCAACAGCAAAGGTAGAACACCTGAGTTAAGATATCCTTTCAATTGAAATGACAAGTGTAATAGATGTGTTCCGAAATCTTCTCAGTGACAGGCCTACGTGCTTTCCTTAGATCCTGTCTGTAGGAGGAAATTACTTTGAGAAACCTTTCCCCAGTCAATCATTTATCTGTTTTAGCAGCAAGAAGGCAACCTCACCGAAATAAGAGAAATCCAAGTCCTTTCATTTCTGTTAGCAATCTCTGACATTCTGAAAGTGAAGCCTAAAAATAATTGCAAGGTAAATTACAAATTGGCCACATTTACAGGTGGATTGTGTGTTTGTGTGTGGGGGGTGGGGCTATTATGTATTTGGAGGCTGTAAGACAGTAATACATAGGCTCCCTTGTCTAACGACAACTAAGTTCCTTCATTATTTGGTCACCTGTATCTTTTGTCCCCATTCTGATTTCTCCTGCATTGTGGTGAGTAGCCAAAGAACTAACTGCAGACACAGCACATACAGCATTTTAGAACAGTGAGGGACCGACCCTAGTTCTCAAAACTAGGGTTGACCCTCGTGACTGACCCTAGTCAGCACAGTTGTCCTGTGAAGACTCTGAGCTCCTCTGTAGCCAGAGCTTTTAACAGAATAAGAGGACAATTAAGACCTAATTGTTGCTGCCCAATGGCAAATCACATTGTTGACTTGTAGCAGAAGCCAGCAGTCAGTCTTAGTGGCAGGAGTTTATGTGACCGGGTTAGTGTAAAGCCAAAGATTTGAAGCCTAAATCGTAAAGCCACAATAATATCCTCAGAGGTGTTGAGAAGAAAAGTTAAATCTAGCCCTAGGACTGCCATGACCTCCCGATTTGGAGAAATTACAAAGGTTAACTGATCCAAGAAACTTTGGGTTCTGAAGTTGCTTAACTTCCTGCAGAGTGCCTTAGCGAAATACTTCGACATGAACTCTCCCTTTATAAATGACTCAATAATTTCCTCTCTTAAATAAGTGAACACAACACACAAGACAGAACTTGACAGAGCCCCTAAGGAGACGCCGTCTCTGCACCACTGCCAGCTGTATAAAAAGGTTAAAGAAGTCATCAGATCTGTCAGGTCATTTTGGGGGATGGGATCAGGATTATATAATTGGAAGCAACAGGTGAGCTTTTCCTTGCAGGCTTCATTGACAACAGGGCAGTGGTTGGAGTTGATAGCGAATTTTATTGTTCTATTGCTAATGCTTTTCTTTGGAGACCTGTTAATTGCTATATCTTTCTCACGAAGTTACAAAGTTCTGCTTCTTATGAAATTGTGGTAAATGCATAAACTGTGCCTTATTGATTTCTGTTGACATTTTACATGTTTTTTATGCATTCCTACCCTCCATTTGGAAACTGTCAGTTTGGCACATGTTCCTGGATAATAAGAGCAAATGAAGTGAATGAAGCAATCTTCTTGACTATTAAAAGCAGAGTTAGTCCAGGCTGCACATGCTTTCAAATATATCTCCATTAGAGTATTTGCCTTTGCTTCCATTATAGTCTCAAGATAAGAAATGGGAAAAGAGAAATCTTAGTGTGATTTCCTCTGTTAATGATGTTGGTAATAATCCCAATGTTTCTGAAGAGATATTACTTTGTAACAGATGATAAATTTGGGGCTCTCTCATTTTGGAGCTGAGCACCAGTATGGAAACTGTAGAGGGGCTGTCATCTGCCTCACACTCTATCACACACATCATCTAAATGCCTTAGAGAAGGCTGCTAAATTGCTGTTATTGATGGCAAGAGCTGTAGCCAGGACAGAGACAGGCGTCATGTTTAAATAGTAAGTCTCACCGCTGCTAGAATGTCAGGGAACCACAAGGCAGCCCAGCCTTCCCAGCAAGCTGGCCTTCAGACCCCGTGAGGCCAGCTCACCTGGGAGGTGAATGTGAGATAAGTCTCCCACGTGTGGAGAGATTTTGCGTATTAAAAATTATAGCATGATGCAAAAAAAAAATGCATTGACTTATTTTCATGACTGGATGTTGGTGTGCTTTGGGGGAAAGGGGTAGACGTTGCTTTTCTTACTGCTGTTTGATTAAAAAATGCTAAGACAGTATTGACTTGATAATCTCACCAGGTACACATGCAGAGCAAAAGAAGAAAATACATTTTATGCCTCATCTATTGATCTCCACCAGCCAAGCAGTCTGCTGGTTATTTGGGTATAGAACGTTCTGTTTTGTGGCCACAGGGGCCCGAGTATCACATTGTTGATGCCGGAATTCCGTTTTCCTGAACTCACTCCGAGATGACAACAGGCTTCAGCCCCTCAGTGTTTAGATCTGCTTCATTTGGAAATCTTTTAAGTAGTAATAATAATAATGTTTTGAGGAAATTGAGTGGAACACTAAATTATTCTCTGATACCTAAGTTCAAACTGTGCAAGGCTAAAGAAGCTGAAAATCAATGCACTTTTAAAGTCATTAGAGATCATAAATGAAATAAGCCTGCGTTGCTTTAGCTCAGCTTTTAGTGCACTGTGGTATTATTATAAAATCAGCCCAAATCTGCATTAATTTCACAGTCTTTTTCTCTGAGGAGCCCAAGGGTGTGTGATGAATAAAATGTAAATTTCAGAAGGCAGTGTTTTTATTAGTGAAAAGGGCAGTGAGTCGTGTAGTTGAAGCAGTGACCTGCATGGTGGCGACACTGCTCCGGGAGCAGGGACAGGCAGGGGGAGTCCAGTAATTTCACAGCACAAGAACAGGACAGCCCTGGGGAGCACGGTGGGTGTCACGAGAGACATCCAGAGACATGTGCATTGTCTTGTGTATGTTGGATTTCAGATCAGATCTCTGATCCGTACCAGAAAGTCACAACTTTGAAAAGTCAAGCAGAATTCATGCAAATAGAAAGTCCAGTGCAGATTTTTAGATTTTATAGGCCCTATGAATATTCTCAGAATAACAGCACTGTTTTTGTTCATAAATCGTAATTATTAAATAGTTTGTACAGGATTTGGGTACCTTTGTTTGCCTTTGAATAGCATTGATGTGTATTTGTACAAACATATATATTTTTAACTACCCAGAAGAGAGTAGGTATATTTATATGCTGACATATTGAGCTTGTGGAATTTATTTGCTAATTTGCCCTTGGTGTGAGAATTTTATTATGTGCTGCCTAAAAATCAACGCTGAGATTGGAAATATAAAGCCCTAATGTATGGATGCCCGAAGTAAAGACAGTCAGCCAAGGAGAAAATGTAAAAGAGCAACTTTTTATTTTAGAAAATGCAAACTAGATCTTGCTAATTTCAAACCCTGTGGCTAAAAAAAAAAAAAAAGTACTCAACTTCCTTCCCCTAGTCTCCATTTTAAAAAATAAACTAATAAATAAATAAATCTTTCTGCTTTGGTCAGATTAGCAAGTCAGCACTGTGAGTAAAAAGCAAAATAAGATAAAACCAAAGAGAGAAGTTGTTTATTTTTATGTACTACTGAGAACAGTGTCGTCCTGTGGCAGTTCTCGTAGACTGTGTTGGTTTAACAAGCGTCCAACCCTTTTGTCTTGTTGTTTTTTGTCTTTCCTGCTCCCTGTCCCCTTGTTTCCCACAGGCTGTGCGTTTGTCACATTTTCTACAAGGGCAATGGCACAGAATGCAATCAAAGCCATGCATCAGTCTCAGACCATGGAGGTACTGTATCATCTGCCCTTTCTTTGTTTTCTTTGTGCAAATGATGGGGAATGGTAAAGCAATTCTCTCCTGTGTGGATTGTTCACATGACAATCACAGATTTCAACTTTCACCATCTCTCTTTTTTTCATTTGTCCATATTCATTCTCTCTCTCCGCCCCTCCCATTCTCCCTCCCCTCTGCCCTCTTTTCTCCCTCTCCTCTCTCACCCTCCTCTTCTCTCCTCCTCTCTCTCCTTCTCTCTCTGAATTTTTCCCCTAATGACTTGAAATGCATTTAGTAAGACCTTGCACTTGCTCTGCATTATTTTTTGAGCCTTTGATTGCAGCGGCACGGGTCCTGCAATGTAAAGTCATGATGCAATTGAAGCCAAGCATCGTTCTGTACCCAGAGGGTCCAGTCCATCCCCAGCCCCAGTGTGGTACAGATTAAACAGCCCCCACTCCAAATTGCAGCTTGCCCTGTGCTAAATCACAGGGCGCTTTTTTTTTTTTTCCAAGTGGGGTAAAGTTATCTTTAGTCAAACAGAATTGTGTTTGTGCATCAAGAATGTTGGAGAAAGTTCCGATTTCTCCCACTTCATTCACCCAGTGAAAATGTTCATGTATGAGAATCCCTTGATTTGTCTCCTTACTAAAAAAATGAACAACAAAGAACAATAAAGGCTCAAATTTGATCTCCTAATGAGAGATAGTGGCTTTAGGGGAAGATGAATTTGCTGGTGTGGGTGTTCGCCCACAGATGTAGATAGATGGCTGTGTACTTTTAGTCTGTGATTTGGGTCATGGCCTTTCAGAATTTTGCACAAAAGCATTCCAAGAGTGATATGCTGTTACTTATTCTGTATTGTCTAATAGAGCCATTGGGAGTGCATGTTCTGCTGTATTATGTACACTGTATCTTTGTGTATGGGTGATCTTTTCTGGAGGTGGCCTTGTGGTGTTATCTGAAGTTACGTTTTCACCTTTTGAAAAAAAAAGAAAATATTTTCAATTTTATTTAATGTGCAAACATTTCTTTCTTGATTGTTTGAGCTTTTTTTAACCTCCATTTGGGGGGAGGGCTTATTTTTTTGTTCGTTTGTTTTGTTTGTTTTTTGCAATGCTGCATCTCCCAAAGCATGCTGGGGGCTAAGTGATCATTACGCGTCATGTTTTGTGGGCAACTTTTTTATAGTGAGCCAAAAAGGTGGGTGGAAAGGGGGGAGAGGAGTGTGCATGGCGTTGTCATTCAGTGTTTACTGTAACTCTTCTGAGTTTTGGTATCAGCATTGCAAAGCCTATTGTCTTTTTCGAACTTCATTTTGACTTTGATATTCTTAACATATCTTATATAATCACTGTCTTTTCCTTTCAGTGCAATGCATTTTTAAGACACTCACACCCCCACCTGAAGGCAAGCTCAGGTGAAAATCTGCCATGATAGGAGATACTTAGCAGGATTTGAAATATCTAGGAGTCGAATCTCCAACAACCTGCAATTACACATGTGATGATTTTGTCCTCCCACCCCTACCTTCTGTGAGGTTGCTCTGTTAAGACAGATCAGTCTGATTTCCAGCCACATTTCAGTTTGGAGATTAAAAGGGAATCATCATTAGAAAAAAAAAATTTTACCTGTATTTATTTTCTTCCACATATATGTTTCATCCTTATTTTTATTTCCTATAAGTTAGTAATTTCTCCCTAAACTGGTCTCAGCTTAGATCATTTTTTAACCTGAATTCTTTAGCTCCATTAGAAACACTGCCACCTAATTCGTTCACTCACCACCACCCACCCCAGGAAAGCCACAGAGAATAATGAGATGGGGGCCCGTGTTCTTCTGTGTTACTACGGAAGGAAAGATCAAGTGTATAAAGCAGAACAAGGGATGAACGCAACCAAGAAAATAATAGGCTCTCATAATGAAAAGAATCTGCTTAGAGAGAAAGAGTTATATTTATTCTTAAGAAATCCTTGGTCCTTTGTTATTAATATCTCTTATAAAAAATCAAATTTGGTGTACTTGTTTTTAAATCAGGACATCCATGCTTTAGCAAAGGGGTCCTCCATCACTTAAACTTCTTGTTTCAAAAATATTGACATCTAAATGAAAAATTATATATTATGTGGTCACATGATAGCTGTGCAACTAAAGTTGTTTTTTTTTTATTAATTACATTATTTTCAGGACTCTGTCTCACATCTTTAACCAAGATGTACTATCTAAGAGATTCGAATTGAAAATGAGGGGATGTTAAAGTTTAAGATAATATGTTTTAAAAATAACTAATTTTTACATTGTACTTTCCATTTCTCCAATCTTTTCCCTTCTTCTTTTTCCCTTCCATGGTTGAAAACGAGTCATTTTTGAACTAGAGTCATTGGCCTAATTTTCTGCTTTGACTTCACTTTTTGGTATTTAAGGAAGGAAGCAAGCACAGTACGTGTACTGTTAGGAGGAGATGCTCTGATTTGGTATGGAGCAAATTTTATGCAACCACCCTTTTCCATACAACATAGAAATTTCCATCGTCAGAGTAGGTTGCATTTTTTTCAAGTGATAAACTACTGAAATATGGAGCCTATGAAGAAAAATGAATGATAGACCTTTTTAAATGGTGGAGATATTCTTTTTATGCAGTTTACTGACATTCTAATATTCAGCACTGTACTGGCTACCAGAGCTGAAGACCCGTATGCTGGGAGTTCAACATTGCAGCGGCCTCCTCATTTTTCTCATATTTTTTTGCTAATAACACACATGATGGCCTCACATATTCATGGCTACAACCCCTCTAACTACCCAGGGTGATAAGAAAAAAAAATGTAAGTTTCTTTTCCAGGAAAAGGAAAAATGAGCCAAAAGGAAGGGAAGAGGAAAATTCATTAAATAGAAATACAAAATTTCTGAGAGGAGAGAGTTCTATTCTCACGCTGAGTTTCAATAAAAGTTTTTTTTTTTTTTTAATCGCTTGGCTAGAATTACTTCTTATTACCTCAGCAAAATTTAACAGTTATAATTGTGTTGAAATGTGTAGGCAAGACAGGCTAAGAGAGAATGAGTGGGAAGGGAGGAGAGAGGTTTCTGCTGACTGCTTACCGAGAGGCAAATGCTTAAAGGTGCTTTTGAAAGGGACTTTTCATGCTTGAGGTCTGAGGCCTTATTTTCCCTAATGATTTTACTCTCTCAAACACAAATCCAGCCTCGTTTCTAACCCTTGGCCATTTCTCACCATCGGTCCTGGAAGAAGCTGCTAGAATAGTGAGATTCATTAGGAACAGGAGCCCAGTGGCATCCCCCTGCCATGTAAGGTCTAGCTCCTTTGGCTACAATAGACTTCAGATTTTTTGCATTTGCAATTACCCTGGCAATTGAGTAGATGCCACACAGAAGGGAAAGTTTCAGAAAACCTGGCAACCTTTCTGTTGGTCAATGCCCATGTTCTCCAAATATCTCCCTCCTTCATCCAGGTTCCAAAAACAAACCTACTTCCCCCTGTTATATTGCTGGATCTGTTGAATTCTCACGGTTCCAAAATGCGTAACTGTAAATTGGAACGAATGAGCAAAAATACACAAATGTGAGAGGTTTCCAGTCCCATTACAGCTCTGCCCCTTTGTCCCCTGATCACACGTGGCGACAGGCACACATGCAATGACAAGTCTTTCAGACAGGGCAACCCTGAAGCTTAGTGAAGGGACATTGCTAAGGCCTCTCGTCTTTCTGACAGTGCTGGGAAGGTTGAAGGAACACATGAAAGAGGAGGAAAGGCAGTTTCATAATCAGAGCAACAAAGCAAATGGCTTCACTGACCACCAGATCCCCCCAAAATCAATGACAGTATCTGGAATATTCTGTTGGTGGTACTATTCAGAGAAGAAGAAGGACTATCAAATCACTTTAAAAACATTCCAGACTATTCCATGTGCTCCAAGATAGTTTAGAAAGCTAGATCCCATGCTGAGTGTCGTGAGGACTCAACCAGGCTGTAACTCCTTCTTCACTTTCCGATGTGTCTGACCACAGGGCTGCTCTTCACCCATCGTGGTGAAGTTCGCTGACACTCAGAAGGACAAAGAGCAAAGGCGCCTGCAACAGCAGCTCGCGCAGCAGATGCAACAGCTCAACACTGCCACCTGGGGGAACCTGACAGGCCTGGGCGGCCTCACCCCGCAGTACCTGGCGGTAAGTGCTGGACAAGCCAGTCAGGACGCAGAGGCATTGACTTGCCCCCTCAGTGTGCTAAGGAATTCACTTGCAGGACATTTTGAACCTCAGGAAAGTATTGGGATCAGCATGGATGCAGAGTATTTTCCGAGTCACCTTGATTAGCAGAAGGACATGACTAATTGAATTCTTGCCTAATGTGGGCTGCGCTGAGTCCCACAAGGCCAAATTTCTAACCTGAGTTTCAAAAATGACACGACATCCTGCATTTGAAGGGGTGCAGCATGCCTTATTATAGGTGACTGTTGAAGGATTCTGAGATAGCCATGGTAGGGAACGTACCACCTCACAGGTGATTCCAATCCAGAGAGAGACCTTGGATGAAATCCCCTGGGAACTTCCATCCCATGAGCCTCAGCTCTCCTGTGAGACTTTGTCAACTAAATCAAGTGTTTCTCACCTTATCTATTTGAAACCCAAACCATAGTTCCTCTTTCAATCCTAATATACCCAGTTTTTTCTTTCAGCCATCCCTTACATTTTATTACTTCCAAGCTTTCATTTTCTAGTTTTTCCTTTGTGATACCAATTTCGTTCACTCTGTCAGCATCTTCATTAAAATACAGTGACCAGAATTAAGATAACTCCCTATTAAGATCGAAACAGCAGAGTAGTCACACCCTAGTGTGAGCTTTAAAATATCTGACTGTAGATTGAATAGAGCTGCATCTGTGAGCCCCATGTCAGACATGAACTAGAAAGCAGCTGACTAGCCAGTATTCCAAGTTAGCACTGATTTTTATTTGAACCATGCTACAAGCAGAACCATATTTCTAATTTGGAACCTAAGTGCTAGACTTCACACAAATTAATAAAATTTTATATTGTGGGACTGGGCTTTTATTCCAACCTCTATCACTGTATGTGTGTGTTGGTCAAGAGGGGACCCTAATCCTGTTCTTTGTCACTGTAACTGTCCCTCCGAGGAGCCAGTCATCCATTAGCCTTACGTAGCAGAACCTATCTGTTCTGTCAGATAGCCCTGCCTGTGACCTTGAAAGAGGCATTCACCTGGCTGGTTGTACAGGTGAGGAAAGGTTCAAGGAGGTTGCAGGAGTCTGCCCAGGACTGTGCTGCCACTGCTAGTCAGGGATTCCCACCTTGCCTGTTCTCACTGTCCTGTCTCGCTGCTTCTCTGAGAGCAGAAAAGGCTCTTGTTCCTTTTTCACCACCCCATGCCCAGTGGGGTCTGGCTTATTACTAAAGCTGTTCATTACACGTTTACTCAAGAAATGAGGAGCACACTTCTCCCACCTCCACCTGAATCCTTCAAAGCACTGACCGAGTTTCCTGTCATCTCACCACTTCTCATCTCCACAAAGACAGCACAGAGGATTTCCTGAGATGTCTTGCTAAAATCTCTGTATGTTTCAGCCTATCTTTGTTTTGCTCTATCCACCTAGAAACTTTATGAAAAAAGAAACGAGTCTTGTCTAACAAATTTTTTCCCACACACTTGTGTTTTCCAGTGGCTCAAAGAGCATCTGTTTAATCACACATGCCAGAATGTATATCAGAGATGATGTAAAACACACCTTTCATAGTTTCTAAGGATGCAGCTCCCCACTCCCCCATTCCTGCAAACCAAGACACAGATGTCTGTCCCCGGTCTTCTGGCATATGTCCCATGCCCCTCAGCTTACAAAAATTCCTGCCACATGTTTCTTTGATCACATCTGCAAATTATTTCTCTACCCTGAAAGAGAATTTATCTCAGCCTCATTTATTAAAGCAGGTTTTCATGCACTCCTAGCGGTGCTTTCTCCTACAGGGGCTTTCATTCCTTCCCAGCCATGTTAGTTCTGCCCCCTTCAATTAAAAGTCTTATCTCTCTGAAAGGACCCTGGGCCTTAAAGCCTTTCCTCCCTCCCAGTTGAGGGGTGGCCTCTGACCCTGGCTCACCAGCGAATGGTTATCAGTGTAAAGAATCCTTGGCAACAGTTTAATGACACTCCCTGTGGTTCCACTTACCTCATTTTTAGGACATATATCCTCTATGTCAATCTCAATTTTAATTTTGCAAAGTATCTAATAGGAGGGAGTAAGGATTTGCAGCCACAGAAATGGGAAACTCAAGAAATCAAAATAAGGGATTTCTCTCTATCAAATTTGGATAATCTCTAGCTTCTGTCTCTCCCTCTTCCTCACTCTCTTCAGAACTGTGGGTAATACCTAGGTAACACAATCTTACAAGTCAAGGGTGCGAGTGAATCTTACAGACATTTTTCTGGCAAGGTTAATCCCCATAATGTCTTTGTACCTAAGACTCAGGTTTAACCAGCCGCTGATACTCTGCTCCACTCAATGCTTTGAAGTTAATTAATTAATGTCCATTTTAAGTCATATCCAATTGTAGAATTTTCTTCTTATTAAACTGAAGATGTCTACAACGTAACCAGAGGAATGACAGTGTGTTCTACACAATGTTTTGCAGAGCTCCAGATACATTCTGAGAACTGTTTTCAAAATGCATCTTGATTCTCCTAAGCATATAGTATCACATCATTGTTTCAGTAGCAAGTTAGGTAAATCTATGCTTTTGTGTCTCTTTGTACCTCTCATTGTAGGAGAGAACTGTATGCCTACTCCCATATGCCAGCTATGTCCCATATTGATGGGCTTTCCCAAAAAGAGAATACCAGTAAATCTAGATAAACCTTTATTATAGCATCTGAGTTGACCTGTAATTCAAGTGAACGGGACAAATACAGGACCATTATAGGACATGCCTTTACCTTGTGGCATCAACTATTTCTACATTGGGGGAAGTGTATTTTTCAAAGCTCTAGGGGAAAATGCAGAGACCTCTTCACAGCTATGTTCATTTCTTTGGAAGAAGATACTGACATATTTATAATACTTACTACACATAAAGACTTGTGATATACAGAAGAATAGCAGCGAGCCTTGTGAGTTTTGGCAGGTTGTATGTTTCTCTGTGCCAGTTGAGACCACCATGAAGAGGGTGAGCATTATCTTGGACATAAAGAACATGCCTGTGAATCGGTCCATTTATGTCTGGAGTTATCCTGATGTCTCTCAGTGAATCCATGTGATCTTATAAAGGAAAGCAGAAGAGACCAAGGGATAGACTTTGATTGACAGAGATGAGTTACGGTAACTGCTAGACTGCGGAGAGCGAGCATTAGTCACGCCATGTTGGTTTCAATAGATTTAACACCTGGCTGTTAAAGAGACTAAATTGATTAATTGTTTTAAGGCAGCAATGTTATTGAGTTTCCCCGGTGTCTGTGTTTCTTAATAGCAATTAGGCATTAATATGGATCACAGAGCCAACTCTAGCAAACTTCAATCCTTTAATAGGCAAAAGTGACCAACTATAGAAATGTAAAGGAAACTGGTTGTGCCCCCAGTGTCATCTGGAAGTGACTTTGTCATCTTCTCCACTTTGTTTTGATGGTATACCTTTACCTTCCGTTTGCAGCTCCTCCAGCAGGCCACCTCCTCCAGCAACCTGGGTGCATTCAGCGGTATTCAGCAAATGGCAGGTAAGTCCTCAGACATGCCTTCCCTTCTGACCCTGCTGGTGTCTGCATGTTGGGTGGGCTCAGAGGGCAAAGAAAGGAAGCACAGAAATAAAAGAAGGAAAGTAATTACCAGCCCCCTTCACTTTCTGTCTTAGGTGTTAAAATTAGAATCAGCAGCTCAGAAGTTGCTCTCCTATACCTTTGGCATCCCAGCAATTATATCTGAATTCCTATTCAGTGTACTTGAGTTGTTTACTTAAAAAAAAGGGGGGGGGGATTGATTTACTAGGGAATTTCCAACAAGACTCTATCCAGGGCAGCTAAAATGATTGACATCCTTCGAAAATTTTAATAATGGCAAGTCAATAAAAATGTTCTGACCTCCGTAATGAAAGCCAAGATTGCAGGCCTATCTTTGATACCGTTCGTATTCCCTTGATAGCCACAGACAATTAACAGGGTTCCGTTTTTACTTTAGAAGCCCAGTTGAGAGAATTGTGCATCAGAAGCTTTCATGGGAAAGTAAAATCTTTGTTCTGGAAAAAATCAAAGTGTGACTATATTTGAAAGCAGGCTCATGAAAGAGTCCTTTTCATAATGAGCTGGGTGCACAGTAGCTGAGGTGCAGCATCTAGTGAGAGGTCACTCATAGGGTGTCACCTTCCAGACTGCTTGGTACCCCAACTTACCATGGGCTGGGAAGCAGCCTGTCCCATAAAACAGAACATAGGTACTGCCAGCCTGCTACGAGGAGCCAGGAGGAAGCCTTTCCCTTGTTTGATCCAAAAAAGATGGGAGAGACAGGGCAAGGAGGAGGAAGAGATTTGAGGCATATTAGAATCAAGCAGTTTGTCTTATTCAAGGACGCCCTGAGTCAATGCAAGGAAACCTGAATGTGCGGAATTAAAGGAAGACGTCTCTTTCTCTCCTTATGAAAACTCCATTATTCTCATTTCTTTTCTCCCCCAAATACATATCTTTGGATTTTTTTTTCCTTGTTTCACTTTGAATGGATCCAGAAAGACTTCTGATGAGCGAACATAGGTTTCTCTGCGCATGTTCTCTGCTTGCCAGCCTGCCCTTCAGTGTGGCCTCACAGGCTAATGGTAACTTGTCTCACTGGACACATCAGCCTGCAGTAAAAATATTGCTGAATTATTCGTTGCACTTTAAATCTGCTGGTTCTGTCAGCTTGTTCTGTTATAGTGTGTTGGGGGTTACTAGAAAAAAATAGATTTCCAAATGATAGTAGTTCAATCAATCCATGCTGCCTTTATGAATACAGTTTGGGAAGCTGGCCTTGAAGCTAAGAATCACATTGGATGGTTAGTTTATTTTTAGTTTTGTGAAGGGAATTGGGAGACATAAGTAAAATATTCAGGGAGTTTTCTGTGTTTTTAAAAGAAAAAGCCTCCAGATTGCAAGCACTAAAATAAATGCTGAGGTTTATCACATTTTCAGCCAAGGCAGGAATTTTTTTTCTTCTAAGAGCCTGGGCCCACACAGATTCAAAATTAGGCTCTTTTCTGAGAGAAGGCCCTAGGCTTTCCCATTCCCACATTGGAATTATGCAAAGAAGATCACTGAGTTTTGAGGCTACTGTCAAGTGTGTCTTCCCTGATGGACAGAGCACCCTGTCAGTTTTCATTAGACTCTGTTCCTCTGCTTGACCAGCTTCAGGTCGGGGTGTTCGTATTTACATGCTCTGCGTACGGAGAAACCATGGGTATTCGGGAGTCACCTTAGTGGGTGCATGGAGCAGATGGCATTCTGCAAAATGCTCTGGGCTTTCCAAAACGGCCCTTTCTCAAACCTTCAACATGTTAAATTGAGCACGCCAGTCTGCACAGGCTATAAGTTCCAGTGAGGAGCAGTCTTTTATCTACCATTACCTTGAATAGAGTATAACGAGGTAGATGTCAAGTCTCTGCTTGGCAGTTTCTAGAAAGGTTGACTTTCATTCCTATAGATAAACAAGTCTCATCTTCCAGAAAATTGGAAGCATTATGGTTTCGGTATTTATTTCTTCAGTAAAACTATTTGGCCTCCTGTGCACTAGTCTTCTCCTCAAAGTAGTGCCTGCCTTTTGTCTCTGCCTGAAAGCTAAGCCAGTATTTTCAAATAAACAAGGTAGGTTGGTAATAGAGGTCTCTTCCTACAGAAAGTGTCTCCAGCTCCTCCAATATGGGAAGGATGTGCCTCTTCCAGGTTCCCCTGAAGCTCTCTAATCTTAACTTCTTCCTTTACTTCTGAATATTCCTTAATCTTCCTGCTCCTTGCTATACTCTGAGCTCTGAGAGGACCTGGCCTGGACTGATAGACTCAGCCCTCCTGTTTCTAACCGGTGTTCGTGACTGTTTTTGACTGCAAATTTATGTTTTGGAGTCATTCCTAATGGACTGTACATGGAATCCTCAGTGATTAAATTAAGAAATTTGGCATTAGCCTTACTTATAAGCCCCATAACAAGTCAACTATCTTCACAAGTGAGTTGTGGAAGATTTGGAAATGAAGAACTTGTACAGTATCAAACATGTTATGGAGCATGTGGCATATAACACATCCAAGGGAAGTGATGTGCAGGAACTAAGCAGTCATCCATCCCAGCTCCACCTGAGGTTGGCTTGCTTGTTGAGTGATTGAGATTGTGGCCTGGTGAGAGTAGGCACCTACACAATTCAAATCCAGCTTTTACGTCTCACTGTGCCACATAATAACTCCACATATAAAATTCAAGCACTCCAGCTTGGAACTCTACCACCAAACAGAGTGAAATATCATTTCGGAAACAATAATATTTTGTTGTGAGCACCTCTCAAAACATAATGGTCTGTCCCTTCAGGAGATTGAGGTTTATTACCAGCATCTAAAATGGCTCATTTCAATGAGTAAAACACTTTCTGCTTGAGGAGAAAATAAAATAAAGCAAAAAAGAAACAGAAAAATTCTAGATGACAAGTTGCTAAGTACTTACATCAATAAAATCAAATGAGACATCTGTATTTTTCCCAGAAAAAAGTCTTGCCATTTTCTTTTCAAACCAAACTTCAAATGTATTTCATGATTTTATAAAAAGGAAACCTTTACTAAACATGGAATTTAAAAGCAGGAAATAGATTAAGATCCGAATCTTTATAATCTGGATGCCTTTATGTGTATATTTTGCACATCCTTGAAGTTCATTGATTTTATTTTCCTTCTTAAAACTTCTGATGAAAGCATGTCTGTATCTCATTCAGCTGTGATATTTCTTCCATGAATTTCTGAAATCTTAGAAAGCTGGGGCATGAGTTGAGACTAAGAGTCTGAATTTCCTGAAGAAGGGAAAAGTGACTCTTTTTCTATTAATTCTTTATAACAATTGTCATCTCAAAAGAGCATCACATTTCAAAAAACAAGAGTAGTTCCATTTTGTCTTTAACAGAGCCCCTAGAAGGAATCATGCTATTTATCCTCACAGCCTGCCAAGGCCAAAACCATCATTTTGTTCCTATGTTACAATTTGAGAAACTGAAGTATGAAGAAATTAAACAACTAAGTAGCATGATATGGATCAGGACACAGAGTTCCCAAATACCACACTATCTCAGGAGTTAAGCAATCCATTTTTACAGGTGGGGCAACTGAGACTCAAAGAGGTTAACAAACTGGCCCACCATCTCTAAGCTAGTAAAAGGCAGATCCAGCTCAAACAGGGCCAAACCCTGAGCTCTTAATGGCTCCCCAGCTTGTAAAACAGCGCTGCCCATGTGGACAGATTCAGATTTGTTTTCGTAAACACCCGTTGCAAAGACACGGCTATATACAAACAGGCCAGATAACACGGAGGCTCTGGCAGTAGATAAACAATGCAGAGTGAGCCCCAACGCTGTTCAAAAAGAAGCAGCTCAGACTAATCGGAAACTCAGTAATGGCATCGCTGCCTCCTGTCACCCTGGACAACGTTTCAAATTTATTGAATGGTTTGCTTTTTGTTAAGGTCATTTTTTTCTTCTTCGCAGAGGGGTGGTTTTATTAAAGAAATTATGGAAGTTATGAAGCGATGACTGAAAAGAAGTATCTGTGATAAAGCTGCTTCTGGGATGCAGTGCAGTTGGTAGTAATTCCCTTTCAGAATATCTGCTCTCAATTTTGAAAGTAGCAATAAAGCAGTAGATTACAAATATTTGCTGAAAACAACAAAACAACTACCCTGTCATCACTTAGAAACCCTTTTCAAGACTGTTAGAATGTTGGTGACAAGCAGAGAAGAGGGCTGGGGCTGAAGACATTTATTTGCAAAGACAGCACATTGGTGGGCCGAGAGGGTCACATCAGAGACCCTCCCAGAATTGTGAGGTGTGTGCACAGTGGACCCACAAAGACCCCGAGTTCTTCCCAGAGCTGAGTCTCCCACCCTCAGTACTACAGACACTTCCTGCGAATGTGCTAATAGGCCTTATGAGAATGTTCTATAACCTCCCATCTGTCACTTTTTAACAGACCTGATTGGCAAGCACTTGTAACAACTGACATCTGTTCTCGCTTATTGATATGCAGATTTATGGTAATTGCTATGAACAATAAGACACAAAATTACCTAAGGTGAACATTAAATTAAATTTTCATGCCCTTCTCCTTATAAATAATTTTTTTAAATCTTAAGTTTCCAGTAGGCATCGTGTGCATCTGTCTTGTACAAAATACGTCTTCGTTTTGAGATAGATTTTCCCTTCCTGAGTAACGAATGAAAAGTTGAATCCCTGAATTCCCAACTTTCATTTCCCATCTTCATCTCGGCACACCGTGGGATTTCACAGAACTTAGTTAAATGTTTTGAATTTCCGGTCACCCAGATCGTCACCCCTGGTTTTTTTTTGGGTGGGGGAGGCTCATCCAGGCAGAGCCCTTATGGCTTTCAAAGTGATTGTTTTTCTTCTCAGAAAAGAGCCTGTTTGCCAAGCCCAAGCCAGCTCCCTGGTGGCGCCGCCCGCTCTCCGTCTGGTGCCCTTTCAGGATTGTCGAGTGGGAGTCGAGAGAAG